TGAGGCAGGAGAATGGCGTGAACCTGGGAGGCGGAGCTTGCAGTGAGCCAAGATTGCGCCACTCCAGCCTCGGGGACAGAGCAAGACTCTGTCTCAAAAAAAAATAAAAACAAAAACAAACAAAAAAAGAGGATGTCAATAACTATGAAATGCATAGAAAAGAATACAGCTGAATGCACATCAAATTGTTGATGGCAGTTTCTCTAAGCAAGGGCATAGGAGGAGGGGCAGGCTGTGGTGAAGATGAACTTTTCTTTTTTAACTTTTGGTTTGTTTTGGTTTGGCTTAAGTATACATTCCTGTATTTCTTGTATAATTAATAAATGGAAAGATCCGTAGATGAATAAGTGCCTTGTAACGTCAGACATTCTTTAATGGAATGAACATGTGGCACGTGGATCTTTGGGAGTCTGGGTTGGATTTTTGGGATCCTAAGGGCTCCTTTCGATCTCAGTTAACATGTCATAGTTTCTGGTCCCTGACTTAGTTCATCTCTGTGTACCCTCAGCCTATGGAGGAAAAAGGCCAAAATCACCTCCGTGTCATTGAAACGGCGAGGCTCCAGGCATGGGTTCCACCCGACCACCTGGGGAGACGGCATGAAGTCCAAAAATGGATAAATGGATGTTCTTGTAAAGTTGAATCCATGAATGCCATCTTCTGGAAACACTATAATCTGTACACCCTGAAAAGGAAAACATCGAAGAATAGTCTGTTATGAGACAATGGGAAGACCGCTGCATTCGTTCATTCTTCTGTTCATTCACTCGGCAACCATCACGAAGTTACTCTGTACCAGAACCGGAGGCACAGAGATAGTGTCCTTACTGTCCTCAGAGACCTTAGTCTTGGGGATGCTGTCTCGCTTCACCTGATCCCCAAGGAACAAAGACAAAGTCCTCTAGGAACAACCATTAACTGTGCCTGGGGTCATGTGAGGGAAGGAGGGAATGAAAGAAAGCTCAGGAGTTTGACAAGCAAATAGCTAGAAAGGATTTAGAGTTCTTAGGGCACCAGGGGAGATGGGGCTGACTACAGGGCCTTGAATACACTGGGCCCATTAACACATGTGGCATCTTCGGTCTGGTGGTTGTCAACTTTCATTGTGCATCTAAATCAGGTGGAGAACTCCTGAAAAGCACTGATGCTGGGGCCCTCCCCTGCGAAGTCTGATTTAATTGACTGTGGGTGGGATACTGGCAACAGTGTTTGTTTAAAGGCCCCCTGGGTGATTCTCATTTGTAGCCAAGGTTAGGACCCACTGGGCCAGTGGGTAAGACACAAGTGTGTTGATCTCAGCATAGGACACAAAACTCACTGAACTCCATTCCCAGCTGGGATGAGGAGCCTCCTTTGGGACTCTGGCGACCCTACAGCGCTTCTCACACGCTGGTAACGATCCGTGCTTCCTGGCTGTGATGGCCTGGGGCTCCTGTGACATTTACAGCAGCAAAAGCTAAAAATTACAACAAGAGCAGGCCAGCCCTCAGCTCTCAGGGCTGGGGCGATTTCTTCCAGCTGCCTCCACTCTTACAGGGTTTATAAATGTCAAGCGAACAGCCCGAGCCCCAGGGAGGAGGTGGAGATAGGCAGGCAGAGAAGGCAATGAATCATTCAAATTAAGCAAGTTTGAACCACTTATTTCTGGAATACATTGCAAACTCTTTAAATGTTTCATAGTTATAAATGTCAAACTGTAAATGTAGAAAATTTGGAAGACGGGAAAAATCATAATTCTATAACAGAATACTTATTGCTTAATATTTTGGAATTTTCATTATTTTTTCTCTCTCTGTATACCTGTATACTTGTATATATGGACATAATATTAAATATATGCG